TGGGGGTGGAACTATAGTATGAGCTGTATTGTTTGGATTTGTTTTTGTTGGGGTTTTTTTTAGTTTTTCTTGTTTTTCAATGCTTCGTTCACTGGAGTCCTTTTATTTCAGAAGCCTGCCATCTTTGCGGTACAAAAATTAACCAAAAGGCGTTTTTTTAATGCGAAATTGTGCAGGTTTAATTAACGTCCGTTGCAATACTGAAAGGTTTTTTAAGAGATGGAACCTTCCTACTGTTCGTCCATCTCTGATAGGACTGAGATAACTGTGGAAAAAACATGTTAATAATCTTCCACAAGAACACAACGTCGGACCAAGCTAAGCCTCGACGTCACGAGCTCGCAACCTCACGATTATGAGTCCGGTCACCTAACCCCTAGACTGCCGACACCATCTGCTCCAAAATGCCTGAACGTGTGTGCAAACAGGTAGCGTCAGCAAAATCCCGACAATAAATTTACACAACCTGAGACCTCCAGGTGATTAAACTATGTTGATGTCCATATCGGTTTACTACCTACTGTTTTACTCGAGAGTACGGGCTGGGAGGGTGGGATGATTTTATTATTACTCAGATAAGTGAAGAATTATTTTTCCTCTCCTTAATAAGATCCGCCTCCAATCGTTCAGCGGTGATGATCTTTAGCAAATGAGACAATTTAGGTTGGGATATGAGGGGGGGGGTGTTGTTTTTGTTTTTGTTTTTATAAGTGTTTTACGACGCTCGCAACTGCATAAGGTCATATCAGCGCGCTGGGCACATTTAACATTTTTCAGTTTGGCAGGAATCAATTTTGAATGTTGCCCGGGCGGAGACTGAAGCTTACTCTTTTTTATTTTAGGACCAAGGGATCGTAAACGTGCACAACTTGCTCACGGGACCCCCGAGATATTTTCGCCCTTATCCAAGAAGGCTAAGTGTTCGATCTCACCTACCCTAAGATCAGGGGTGTGGCTGATTGACAGCAGTAAGAAGGAGCCATGGAGTAGCAGTAAAAATGCTGCTGAAAGAGTCAGTCGCTAAGAGGAGGGAGCAAGGGGGAGGAGGGAGGGGCAGAAAGTGGAAACGAAAGAGGACTAAAGAACATGTAGAGAGAGCTGGAAAGGAGGTGAAAGTAGAACATTTTAGAGAAGAAATTTTCCGTCGCTGTCCGGATCCCAGCCCAGGACCTACTGAATGAGAGGCGAACACAAGGAGTTTACTGTAAACTCCTTGAGCGAACACCATAGCCTCTTGACCGCGAGAGCTCCCAGATACGAGGTGAAGCCCGGAGGCCAGTGTAACCCAGCTGCTGATCAACTTATAGGGGTCCGGAAAGACGGAGTTGCAAGGTGTATCCCTACAAAGATACGGTCGGGTTTTTAGGGGATAAACTTAAACACGACGAAATATTCATTGAAATAAGACAGCCGTAACACTCTTCATTATCCTTTGTCAATGGAAACGAGAAAAAGAGTAATGAAAAGTTACATCGAGCCAATCCTGTTATATGGGTGCGAAGCAAGAACAATCAATAAACAGCTGGAAAGAACAATTGAGGCAACAGAGTTGTGGTTCATAAGACGCATGCTGCGTATCTCATGGACAGCTAGAAAAAGAATATTGTAACAACAGGCAAGTTTGATGGAAAGAGAGGCAGAGGCAGACAGAGGGAAAACAATTTTTTTTTAAAGAAAAGAGAGACTTCACAAGAGGACAACATGGCTGGGAGCAGCAAGAACAACAAGGCACCGGATGATGATGAACACTCGAGCATCACAAAGAGATCAGCCTTTGTTGTTGATCTTGCTGTTGTAGTTCCTGTTGTTGTTTTTATTGTTGTTGTTGTTGTTGTTATTGTTGTTGTTGTTGTTGTTGTTGTTCTTGTTGTTGCTGCTGTTGCTGCTGCTGCTGCTGCTGCTGTTCAGTAGCGGGTGCAGTGGAGAGCTAAAGGCTTGAACCCTTCCCCCATCCAATTTATGTTCGTTAATGAATGTTTCTTGATTAACGGAATAATGAGTTGTCTGAAAATCTTCAGCATCTAGCTGCTTGCAGTGAACACACGCACTTGCTCGTTTATCCAATCACTGTTGTCACTGCTTACCACTATAATAACCTAACACTTACAGCCAATGACATATCCTCAGGGATCAGCAAAGGATGAACTCGTTCCATTGTCCTTTCTTTGTGAAACCCTTCCGTTCATCCGACCCTCGTTAAGATTGTCTTGCTTTCTTTGAACACACACACACACTCACACACTCACACACACACACGAACACAAACACACACACACACACACACACACACACACACACACATACACACAAACACACACACACATACACACACATGCACACGCACATAAACA